CTGGGACTGGCTGCCCGGCTTCGCTCTGTTTTGTTCCACATAAGCATTAGCTCTGTTTATAATTAGGGAAACACATCCAGAGTCCTCTGACCCTGAGTCAGTGGGCCTTTGAGAACTCTTATACATAGAGAATGCAGCAGTGTGAGTTGTTATGCAATAGTCTCATGTAGCTCGGCTTCACATAAAACCAGATTTTGTCTATCATTTCTCTTGCTTTTTAAGTCATGTATTCTGTGTTTGTATAGAGAGAGTGTACAACATTTGGATATATATTTTTGGAATATATGTTTATTTATTGCGATAAAACTGAGGATTTTTTCCCAGATCAGTTGAATAGCCATATCTAAAAAAATAATGGATCATTTGAAAATCATTTGAGTGATTTTGATGGGTACTTCTGCATTACAAATAAAAGTAATTATTTTAAAAGCTGAATGTGAACCCTCTTTCTTATAAAACAACACATTTTTTTGCAACCAAATATTCTTTTCATGGTTTTTCTCCCGTTCCTCATAAATGTTTAGGTTTGATCAGCAACTAGTGTCCTGAACTGGTTGTGTAAAAATGTCATTCAGAATGCTTATGATTGCTGATTCGCTCAGCATAGAGCCTTGCATGTCACTCACTCTCAACAAACTCTGTGTATCCAAAAATCCTTAAAATCGTATTAAATGACGTTGCATCAGACAGATAAACGTAAAGCTTAGTCATGGGAAATGAACCGTGTACGTTTTCCTTTTGTATCAAGCAGCCAAAAAAGTTTTATCATTACGTGTTTAAATTCAATCAGCCTTTCTTGACATTCCACGTCCTGTGATGTCACTATTGTGCGTGCACGACCTGCATGGTTGAATCTGATATCGTGCAGCCGTCGCCGGAGCCAAGACCCTCCCCAGGCTTCCAGAGAGTCCAAGCATACACACTGTATTTATGAGAGCTTATTTTGGTCCATGCGATGGCTGGAAGGGGTGAGGGGCGACTGACATGTTATACCAGTATACTCTGTATGACCTCATGACACAAACCAGCAGCCTGTCAGTAATCCTGTAAGCAAAGCACATGTGACTGGCCAGCAGTGATTCAACACAATGACATGCATTGCTGTAGATAAAACATGACACAATGGGATGAAGCATTAAATGCCTGTTAGTGGATTGATGATCTGTTTTATATCCTTCCCTCTGCTTTCACATTATTCAAATACACTTGTGTTCCCTTCCAAACAGCAGCAAGTGTGACTCCTCTGTACATTTTAACCAGCTGCTGCAACAGACAAAAAAAGTCCTTTCTCAGACGTCTATCTCCTCATTTGTTCTGTGCTTATTCACCTCTCCTTCCTTCACTTTGTGTGCTTCTTGTCTTTGTTGCCCAGCAGAGGCCTCGAGCCCTGTGGAGCGCACATCCATTTTAAACCCGGAGGCTGTCAAGCATGCTGCTGGTACAGTAAATGAGCAAGCTAAACTGTGGCTGTCGGTCTCTCCATTCTACTTATCATTTTCCTCATCTCTACCTCCCATCACATGTTTCTTTAACCCTGGCCCTTTTTCCCCACACCCTCTATCATTTGCAAGCCCCATGCATGGTTTGTACTCAGTTATATTCAAAGCACATTGTAAATAATGTCTTCCCGGTTAGCCTCAAGTCAAGTTATGTATTTCACATTTCATAGTGAGCTCACTGTCTTTAAATGAAATGAAAGCAAAAGTAGTCTAACAAAGCAACTTGGTATATTGGATGTACAAACTGCCTGAAGCGGAGACACATTTGACAACACAATAACTCATAGATCAATGCTTTTTCTGCAAATAAACACCACCCTCCTTGTTTACTAGCCATACAAGAAATGGGTTTAATTTAAAAGAAGAAAACGGCATGTTGCAGATGTTGCGTGAACAGCAGAGATAGACAATCAGGCACAGAAAACAGAGCCTAGAGCCAGCGTATGTTAAGTATGTTCATTCATTTCTGTAGTTTCTCTCCCGTTAGCCCTGCTTGCTTCCTGGACGTGCCTTGGATCTTAATAGGCTTTGGATCCCTGCTTCACTGTTTTGAGGTACACAGAAAAGGCCCTGAGAGAGGAAGGGAAACAAGAGAGAGGCAGAGCGAGATGCAGGGTGATAAATAAAGACAGATGACAAAAATGAACGATAAAGAACACATGTCACAGGAAATAAATGATGGGAGTTGAACTGGAGAAATAATGACCGGACTGCCAGACCGAAAGAGCAAGCTTTAATTAACTAACTGTGCACTGTCTGCAATTATAAATCCAAGTCAGTATTAATTAATAGACGTCATTGGAATCAACATAATGAGCCAGCCTCTGCACACAAATGCTGACCCATGTTTAGCGGTAATAACTACACGTGTATGATCTTAGTCACACACTGTGTGAGCAGCTTGTCACCCATACGTGTAGTTTCTTTACCTTTAATGGCTTGTCTCGGCTCTATAGGTTAACACTCAAACGGTGATGCTAAACCAGCTCGGAGCTGCTTAAAAAGTGCAGCGCCGGAGGGCACAAAAAGGGACCTCATCAGTGAGCGGCTTCCTGAAGCCCCGCTGTTCCACCAGGCTCCCATGCCGAGCTCCGTCTCTCTAAAGAGACTTCAAAGGCAGGCATTTTCTGAGCCGATGTAGGCGTTAACCTTTGACTCAGAGGCTCTCTCTGTAAAAACAGGGACAGTCTAATTGATGCTATGCGCTGTAGAAAAGGAATAACTTGTCCTTGTGGATTTCAGCCATAGAATAGAGTGCTTTAATTTCCCCCTCTGCACAGTAAGGAGGCTGTGTGTCTCCGATAGCAAATTTATTTTCATGACCTCCAGTAACAAACAGTTTGCATTTATTCAACTTTTTCTGGTCCAAGTTCATGTATCATCATTCCAACTGTTCCAGGTGGCTTAAACAAACGCACAACCAACATATAAGACCACTGGGGTAGGTATGGATTTGTAGATAAGGAAGAATGGCAGGGTGCAATTTCCACAATCCTCCTGGCCTGGAGATGGGCTGATAGCGGCGTGGCGGCTGAAGATTGAGTCAAGCCCCCGTCGCTCCTTCTTGTGTTCCAAGATAATGCAGAGTGGAACCACAGTTCACTCCACAGTTAATTTTCCACCTCATGTCCTGGCTCCCGCTCAGAGAGATGGAAGGAACGATAATCCACACTGATAAGGGGATGTGGCGACTGAAGGAAGGTAGCAGGGGCCAACTGTGGGATTGCATTTTGTGAGTCTTTACTGCCAACCACATTACAGGCTCTTAAAGGGACAAGAGGCTGGAAAATACGAATTAAACAGTTCGTCAATGTATGGATGGATCAACGAATGGACACATAGATGAGTTGATGGATGCTTTGCTGTGATGTGTGTTTACTTATAGATAGACACATGTTGGCATTTAAATAAAATCTGTCATTTAAGCATGTGATTATGGGAGCAAGACACCTACTTTTATTGCTATTTAGCCTCTTTTTGTGGTTGCTCTCTTTGTTGTTGTTTTGTGTCAATTGGTATTTGTCATAGCCTTTTTGAAGTCGTTTTTTGTCCGTTTTTCTGTTGGCCAATTTGTATTCACTTTGATCCCCTTTGTAGTTGCTTTGTGTCCCTTTGTAGTCAATGTAGGTCCCTTTGTAGTTGCTTTGTGTCCCTTTGTAGTCAATGTAGGTCCCTTTGTAGTTGATTTGTGTCCCTTTGTAGTCAATGTCGGTCCCTTTGTAGTTGCTTTGTGTCCCTTTGTAGTTTTATTGGTCTTTTTAAAGTACATTTTGTCCACAGTTGTTTTGCCCCTTTTGTAGTCATTTTGAATCCCTTTGTACAGTAGTTGATTTGTATCTGTTTCAATGATGCAATGTAACTAAGTACATTTACTCGACTGCCTCACTTAAGTACAATTTTGAGATACTTTTACTTGAGTAGTTTCATAATGTGTTACCCTCACTCCACTACATATTTTACTCCACTACTTACAATGTGTAGCTTTAGTTATTAGGTATATTGCAGATTTAGATCATTAATATGAAAAAAAAATGAAAATGATCTTAGTACTTTCTCCACCTCTGGTCTCTTTGTAATCAATTTGGAGTCTCTTCCTTGTTGGTGCGTGTCTCTTTGAGGTACATGCGTTCAAAAGGAATGAAGGAAAGTTCAATGCTTTGCTCTAAGCTGCAGGAAGCTTTCCAAAAGCACCTTTCTTCATGGTGTCAATATTTCTGTTTTTGCATGATGTGAAATGTTGCTGTAAGACAGAACAATAAGCTAGTATATGGCCTCCCACACTGTTAATATTGAATTTACAGTTGAGCCGAGGTTTCCATTGAAAATGCTCTTACAGAAATCCTTCCTTAAATATGTTTGTTCAATCCTAATGTTGAAATTCATGGTGTATTCATTAGAGGGTCCTGATATATGCAATTGCGAGTTGACCACCACTTACATATCTGACTCCAGCCATGGAGAGAAGGTATTTTGAGCAGCAGAACATTGTGTATGCATTTTGCGTCCAACCCTGTATGTTTCCTTGCCAGCAGTGATTCCTGTGTTTTGTTACAGTTGAGGATATTGTCTGACATGAAACACAATCTGTGCCTTTTTCTGTGGTTTCTGGCATGTCACATCTTTCAGGTTTTCAAATCCAAAAACCTATTTTAATATGTTCTTTTAAAGGGCACATGGTCATTAGGACAGGTAAACAGCCAACATGGGAACTCAACACGTTTGTCCTCATTTTGTGAACAAAGAAACTTCTGTAGGGCAATTTGTTATGAGTTCAGCATCTAAAACACTGAACAACTCCCACATGTTATCCGGTATGCAGGCTAATATGCATCCCTCATGAGTGTTAAAAAGTCTAAACACACAAGGCCTCCAGCTCCAGGTGGCAGGTTTGGAACTGGAAAGGATTGCTGAAAATGTTTCCCTACCCCATGGGCATAGACTATCCAAATTGTCTCTGAAACCTTTGAATTAACACTTGGCTATTCTTCTTCTTGTTTACAGGATACTGACCTACTGGATATAGCGTACATAAAAGATGCCAGAAATGGAAAGTGCACCAAAACGCCAAAGGTAAGCCCGCAGAATACTCATTAGTTAAGTTGCTTTCCCACCCCTTATTCTAGTATAATATAGATATGAAAATATATTCATTTAGATTCCTATGGGTTCCTTGTCTCTTCAATATTACATGTTGAATCATAATTGTAATGTTGTCCTTGTTATTGTCTGTCTAGTCTGTGGGAACACAATGTGCTGTGTACTGAAAGGACAGGAGGGCTTTTTTTGGGTGATGATATGCTTTGTAAGTGTTTATTTTTGCACATAAATGAAAGCCATGAGTGGGTGTGAGCCCAATCATGAATCAGACACTGTCCCCATCCTTTCAGCTGTGAATTGTGTTACTGATAGGATTGCAATTAGTTAAGCTGGTTTTAATGATTGACATTTACCCAAGACACTACGTACAAAAATGTGTTGTTATTATTTGTGTGGGAGGTGTGGTTGACGTGATTGTATTTCCTGTGACCTTTACATCAAACACTTTTGCCTTGCTGTGACTTGTGATTGATGTGTTTTGTGTGCAGCTTTATGGATGGTGTTCACATATTTAGTACAGTCTTTAGAAAGTGATGTGAAGATAAAAGCGTGGAAGTGAAGATCAAATGACTGAAGATTGACACACATCCCACACACCACAATGCACGTGGATGGTTTCCGAGGCAAGGCAAGTTTATTTATATAGCACCTTTCAACACAAGGCAATTCAAAGTGCTTTACAAAAATGAAAGACATTAAGAAAATGGCATTTAAAAACAGTCATTAAAAAGAAAAGCTAATAAAATAGATATTAAAAGAAAAAATACATGGATACAAGTTACAGTGCTGTCTAAGATATGAATAGTTCAATTAAAAGCAGCGGCAAAAAGAAAAGTCTTCAGCCTGGATTTAAAAATAGTAAGAGTTGCAGCGGACCTGCAGGTTTCTGGGAGTTTGTTCCAGATATTTGGAGCATAATAACTGAACGCTGCTTTACCATGTTTAGTTCTGACTCTGGGGACAGAAAGCTGACCAGTCCCTGAAGACCTGAGAGATCTGGATGGTTCATAATTTAGCAGGAGGTCAGAAATGTATTTTGGGCCTAAACCATTCAAAGCTTTATAAACCAGCAGCAGTATTTTGAAATCAATTATTTGACACACAGGAAGCCAGTGTAAAGACTTCAGAACTGGAGTGATGTGATCCACTTTCTTAGTGTTAGTGAGGACTCGAGCAGCAGCGTTCTGAATTAGCTGCAGCTTTCTAATTTCCAGGATTACCCACATTGCTTCATCTCAGCTAATTATACGTTTTTTTTAATTGTGAGCGACTATGGAAGAATTTAAACACATATTTTTCTAATCTAGCAACCTGCAGCTGTCTGTGAATTTGGCACATTTTTACAAAGCCAAAGTATTCCTCACTGTTCATTTCCAACTTACCAAGAGGGCTAGAGCCATGATGAGAACAATCACCTCCATTCTTTTCCACTTTCTTATTATATATCCCTGCTTAATGACTCAATTTCATATATCTGTCAGATCTGTTTAGTCTTGTGATGTGCTGCTGTTACATAACAGCGGCACTCTTCATGGTTTTGACATAGTGCAGCAGGAGAAGCGAGTGGGGGTCGCTCACCGCTGCTCTGTCTGGAGAGTGAGTAATGATGGAATGAGTACAATAACACAGAGAGGATTCATGCATTTCTAAACAGCTTACAGAGTGATGCTTCCCAGAGAGGAGACATAACCACGTGACAGGTAAGATGGTCGAAGCATTGGAAATCCATTACTGGGTGATGGAGCGGGGCTGCACCCAGGGCATTGTAATGGGAGCACCAGTGAGACACAGTGTCTGAAGACTTGATGGGATGAGGAGGAAAGGGAAGAGGAAAGGAAGGGGGAGTTATGAAGAGACTGTAGGGATGCGAGGAAGGAAAGCAGAGAGAGAAGCAAGTGGAGATTTGTATGTGAGGTCTGCAGGAGGAAGCGAGGCAAAGGATGAGGGGAAGGACACAGATAATGTGAGGTCAGAGGAAGATGTCAGTCGAGAAGTACGGATAATACCAGGCAGCAGTTGCTGTAAGTGGACTGCACTTTTCATGGCTTGCTTCTAAAGCATTTCTCTTTGACACGTTTTAAGGATCTTGACAGAGCGGTGAAGGTTTTTTTCAAGGATCACTGCATTGTTAACTCCAGAAGAATGCAAAAACTGTAAGGATTTTTTCCCATTCAAACAAAAACCTTTTTGAAAGTGATAGTGTTGGGTGTGGAGAACACAATAATATGATTTACACCATTTCAGATATCTGTATAAGTTGGCATTAGAAGACACATGTGACACAGAGTCCAAACTGTATATGTGCTCAAATATAAACTATTATGACTTTAAAACATGTGAAACAAAGCTGAATCATCCCTGGTTAAATGGATCCCTTCCAATGAAAACCATTTAAACTGATTAATACTTTTTGTCTATTGTTAAATCTAAGTACATTACGTAAAATGCTTGAAAGAATAATTCATTTTTAGCATCAACATTTCAAGTCAAACGTAATACATGAAACGTATTTTTTTACTGTCTTGTTGTTGTGTCTGTTGGTTTCATATTATATACTATCTACTCTCGTAAGCCTCTTCTGCTCGCGCTCAAGAGCTCCCTTCGCTGCATTCATTTGATCAATTCATGCAGATTGCTGGAAACCAACACACTTGCCAAGACGAGATGAGATGTTGAACTCGTGATGACATGTCGGTAAAAAGCTTCAGATGTGCTTTTATTGTGCCACTCAAGAGTCCTGCGTCGGAGTACAATATTGTCCAACCCCGATGCAATCATGCTCTACAGGCTGGCTGGAAATGGCCAGATGGAAAGTCTGTTTCGGCTTGCCTCCTGTAAACCCTTGTTTCTACCAGTAAGTGACTTCATATTGTCTTGAAGCACCATCGGAAATGTCTGTCTGGACAGCATTAAGATTTGGAGCACCGCTACTGTGTTCATCGGCTCGTCGCAGTGTGTGGGCGGCATGTCTGCCCTCTGATGAACTTATGCCACCCTGCCCACGGGCTCCAGCTACTCACTTACTATTCATACGTTTTCACTTTGAACACACACACACACACAAAAACACATTTGTGAGACAGCAACGCTCCCAATCCCTTGTATCTTGCGTACAGCTGAGGAGAACAACGGAGCATGATAAAAACAGTGTCCTTTGTTCCACCACGCTAACAATGATGATGCTAATTAGCATGTGTCCACCCCGTCATAATTCAGGCTGATTAGTTTGGCCGCTTGTCAGAATGATGAGAGGCAACCTTTGTTTGGCGGGTAGCTCTAGAAATAAATCACACACCCTGAGGTCTGCTGGTGAGCAAAGCACAGCGCTTATAATCATCCACTTCATTATACCCACAAATAGCTGGCAGATTTCCATATCCAACGCAGAGAATTGAAGGCTAGCAGGAGCACTTTCTGTTGCCTTAGAATCTGTATATTTATTTTTACATTTATGATTATTACCATGGTGGCAAGGAAGTAAGTATCTGTTAAGTTTTGGAAGAGACACATGCAAGTGTTCGTTAACTTTGAACGCATCAAGCATTTAGTATTATTTAGTATTTCTTTGTTCTCAAATTCAGGGTTCATAAACTTTTTCAACAATAATTTTCAATGACTTTTCCATGACTTCTCCATGACCTTTACCTAATTTTCCATGACCAAAACAATTACAATTAAAATGGTTTATTTGAGCATGGAACAGGAAAATAAGGTCTGAAATATGATGTGCCTATCTAAAATAAATCAAATAGGCTTACTAGCTTTTACAGGATAAAGCAACTAAAATCTCTCACCAGCAAAATACCTCGACAGTTAAATGCCATTTTACGTTTCATTACTATACGATACAGTATTTATTATCATTATAGTATTACTATTTCGGCGATTAGATAAAATATAAATTATATTTGATGCAACTTTAGTTACATTTCCATGACTTTCCCAAAACTTTGGGAAAAATATTGTTTTCCATAACTTTTTCAGGGCCTGGAATTAGCATTTTGAATTTCCATGACTTTTCCTGGTTTGTAATGACCGAAAGAACCCTGCAAATTGTTAGTTTTAAAGATCTAATATTGGCTTTTGGATTGTAATGTGTTGGGTAAAGAATGGAGCACCAACATCCTTATATATTTTACAGTATTAAATATGAAAAATGTATAATTAATTGACATGGTCTCAAGAAGTAAACAGCTGATTTGTAGAGAAACAAGTGGCCGAAGTTATACATTATAAAACCACCTGACATTTCATTGAATTCGACCTTGCATTGGTATTTGTTAATCACCTTTATATGTATAAGACTACAATGCATTATTTTATTTCTAAAGGACTTTAAATATATATATATATAAATATATATATATATATATATATATATATATAAGAGTCTATTACTAGAAACCTTGACTATTGGAAATAACATGCAGCAATTCCATATCGAAAATCCCTCCACTGGACGAACTACACAAAAAGACAAAACCAACAGTAGGAAATAGAATCATTATTTACCTTCCAGATTCTTGATTTATTGATTGCGTATGACATTTATTTATTCATATACATTTGGGGAAATACATGATGTGTTAAAGCCCCTAGCTAGTGTAATCCACTGTTCCAAAGTATCCCTTCATATTCCCTCTTTATTAAATCAGCAGATTAGCTTGTTCCTGCACAGCTTGTTCCCTCTCCTCAGCACCAACCAAACAACGAAAGCCAATCTAATCTCTTGTACACTTTACCGTGCAACTAACTTCTACATTACTGTGTTCAGATAAGTTCCACCCAGCCTCCTCTCATGCTGAGAGAGGCATATTGTCAGGCCTTTGTCACTCTGTTCTCTGGAAGTGTTCTTCTCTCTCAATTGTTCTTTCTCAGCAGAACTGGCGAGAGGAAAATGTAATAAGCATCTCACCATGCTGCTTACAGTAGGTGTCTGACAGACAAAATTACATGCTGTCTCTTTGACAACC